GTGCATTGGGTCCACCCGCCAGAGACTGCAGGCCTTTGGCCTCAACCCCAAGCGGCTGCACTTTCGCCAGCTGGGCCGGCAGCGGAAGAAGCAGAAGGGGGCCGGGAGCCGCCCCTGAGTCCGAGGGGGCAGGCGGGGACCAGCCCAGGACCCCCAATCTAATCAAGTCCCTCCTGCCGGCTAAGCATAACCCCAAGGCTCCCCATGGTCAAGGGAGGTTTCCCGTTTCACAGGTGGGGAAGCCGAGGCAGACCAGAAGCAACTTGGAGCCCTCTGTCCACGAGATCCACCCCGACGCATGCCCTTACCGGACGCTGAGCTGGGCCCCAGCCAGGCTCGTGTCAAACAGCTTTATTGGCCCCTCGTGGCCACGTCCCCCCCAGCACAGGGGCTCAGGGGCCAGCGAGGGCACAGGCGGTCCAGTGCAAACTACAGTACTTGAGTCAGGCCCTGAGTGGGTGCCTGGGGGTCCCCCCTCCTTCCCTGCCCTGCGGGGAGGGCTGGGCTGGCGGGAGGCAGGCGGACAGGTTCTGCCCAGCGGTTTCCCTGACGGGTCTCAGCGAGGGTTGTCGAGGGGGTGCAAGAACTGGAAAGCCCACAGCTGCAAGAATTCAAGCTCCCACCCCCAACACGACATAAATAAAAAAATAAATAGTGTTGCATCTCTTCCCCCCCTCCCTCTCCCCATTTATAAAAACACAAAGTCCTCGGAGCTGGGGCGTTTGGCCTTGAGGAGACGCCCAGTGCGAGGGAGCCGCAGCGTCGGCTGGGACAGCTGGGAGCAGAGGTCGTCCAGGCTGTGGTCCTGAGCATGGCCCTCGGCCAGGGTGAACATGGGGTACCGCTCCGTGGCTGAGGAGGAGCTGAGGACCTAGGGGAGGAGGGAGAGCTGGGCTCAGCCCCCAGCCCATAAGCCACGCCCATCAATTACCCTAGTGGGTGATCACTTATGGCAAACACCCAGGCTGGCCAATCAGTGCCTTCCACCTTAGAGCCACAGGGGTGGTCTCTGGTGACCATGCGACCCAACCCAGCGACTGCCCTGAGATTTTTTTCCCTGCAACTATAGTAAAAGTGTGGCCCCCCCCACCTTCCAGAGAGCTGAGAGGACAGGTGCCCAGAGGGGCTGGCAGCCATCTTCTGGCCACAAGGGTGAAGCCTTGACAGGACCACAGAGCCCACAAGACGGGTCCTGCCACTTGAATGCCTCGATGCTGCTGTGCCAGGGTTCTGATGTGCCAAACTTCAGGTCAGAACCGCCAGCGTGGAAGCGGCACCCCAGGTCTTGCTAGACTGGAGGCCTCAATTCCTCTGACCCCAGCTCAGCCCTTGGTCACCCCTAAAGCCTTCCTCCGGCTCACCCTGGTCAGCTCTGAGCAGAGCATCTCAAACTCCTTCCTGTCCCCAGCGTAGAAGCCCACAGTGCAGCTCGGGTCCATCTTGGCGAACGCCATCTTGCGAGGCGAGGTGCAATGGAAGGACTGGGACGGACAGACAGACGAGGGAGACTCAGGAAGCCCCCAGCTCCCTCCCCACAGCCCGGCCCCAGTCTTGGGGACCCCAGCTCACCTCTAGGGGGAAGTCAGCCTGGCTGACGTCCACAGTGGGCTGGCAGTAGTGGGGGTCCAGGTAGAGCAGGAAATCATCTGTAGGTGGGGTGGGCATGAGCTGGGGTGGGAGAGGGGGAGGCAAGGAGGGGCGGAGGGGTG